ACGACCAATTAAAATTAAAGAGGCGGAGAGTTTGAAATTTAAAGGAAAGAGATTGGTTAGTTAGCCCCCCTAAAATTAAAAGAAGAAAAAGAAAGGCGTGAATAGAGGGGTTGGTTGATTTTCCCCACAGGAAGTGCGATGACCGCGCTGACCATGAGAAAGGTCACCAAGAAAATTAAAAAGATTGCTGAAATAAAAAAAAGAGGAATAACGTTTAAAGAAAAATTAAAGACTTAGGTAAAATTAGAAATTAAAATTGTCACATTACATTAAGTGTAAATGTGACAATACTAATTAAATAGTTTTTACTTAAAAAAAGTTCTTAATCGTTTTTCGTTCTACGTAACTTTGGCTCTTTTCTGTAGTAATGTTTCGCCTTTTTTAGGGATAACAGGAAGGCTGGTGTCGCCTCTTTTTGTTGTTCTATATATTCAATAGTACATTCAATAGCTTTTAGTCCATCTGTATGAGAGAATGTTGATTTTAATAATCAGTGTCTTCATCATCTTCGCTAGATTCATTATCATTATTGACGATATTAACGATAACTTCATCAGACCAAGTTGTTGGATTTTGTTTTTCTGAGTGTTTGGAAGATAAAATTCAGATTTATTTTTAGCGGTTTTTTTTAAAATAAACTAGAACAAAAAAAATCCTTGAAATATTTGATAGCTCGGTTAAAGCGGAAACTCGGATAACCGGGGCTCGGGTAATCGGGACTCTACTGTATATATATATGTATATACATATGAAAAAGTTGTTTGTTTTCGAAAGAAACTTCTTCTCGGAGCCGATTCAATACTTTAGAAAAACTGTTGGATGAAGGAAATTGCACACTATGATGAACAGCTCTCGGTTCCATCCTTACAACGAATGAAGCAACGCAACCAGTGTAGTTATTCAGCAAAGACCGCTATAAATCTGCCGTGGGGAAAATCCTCATGTGACTTTTCGTACACACATTATAAATTGTTGCTGAACATTTCATAAAAACATTTCAAGACTGCTTGGAAGTATAATTTCAAGTAAATAAAGACTTACAATTGTCATGAAAAAAAAGCTTTTTTATTGAATAACAATTATGTATTTTTAATTTGTGTTTTACAAAAAAGGTTATCGACGTCAATTTTAAACAATGAAGGTAATGTATCGCATTTATAATTGGCTGAAGTTTATTTTATAGTGTGTTTTGCTTTTCAAAAAAAATATTATGCTGTGAAATAATTATGTTTATCTTAGATTTTTTTTCCTTCAGTAGTGTAGTGTGTAATTTATTCTACGGCTTTGTAATTAATCTTCAACATTTAAAAAAATTTCATTTGTCAGGTATTGATAAAATTTCGTCAAAATTTGATGTGTCAGATATTGATAAAATTTTATAAAATGTAACGTTTGCAAATCTTTATAAGCGCTTAAGTGTCATGAAAACAGTTGAATATATTTGAAATTTGGTTATTTTAAGGGGTCTAGGCGGTTTTTCACATCAAAATTTTCGATTTTTTTGAAAAAAATATATGTTATACTCTGTTTTATTCTGAGCATTTTGACACCAAGTTTAAGAAAATACTCAAAAAACTTCATGAGTTACAGCAATAATACTGAAACACACTTTTTGAAAACATGAAATGCCACGCCCCTTCACTCAACGTCGTCTGCAGTCTTTCACAGTTTCGTTTTTACTGATGCGTTTTATTTCATTCTTGCGCATTAACAATTATTCTAATCACGTGATTATTATTTTATTTTTAAAAAAGTGATAACCTTATGTCTTAGGCTACATCTCAACACTTCTATCAATAAATTCATTGTTTGTTATTTCGTTAGAAACTCGTTTGAAGCTGCTAGCTATTACCTTATTTTGTTACTGAGTTATTATTGTAATTTACAATAATTCTGCAATGGATACAACCAAAAAAAGACGTTCTGGACAACGCCCAAAGAAAAGGAAGTTCGGAGGGAATCAGTTTTTTGATAAAGACAGAAAACCTCGTGTTACCGATGTAAATAAAAGTAAAACATCCTCAGCTTCAAGTAAGAAGCTATCTAATTCCAAATTTAGTTTGGACTCTAGTCTCTTACATTGCAGTGAAGATTTTGAAGGATATCGTGTTGTTGATTTATATATGTTTTTTTCCAATATCGCTAATGTTTCCTGCTGCAATATATGTTATAATAAGTTAGAATTTAAAGAAAAATCATTGCGTGGATTATCATCAAACATTGAAATTAAATGTACCAATTGTAGCAGTGTATCAACCTTTAATAGTTGTACAATGATTGGGAAAAAAAAGAATGCTCCTGAAATCAACATAAGATCAGTGTTAGCTATGAGAGCTATTGGTAAGGGTTTAGAAGATCTAATTAAGTTTTGCACTATTATGAATATTCCATGCTCATTAAACAGAAAATCCTACAATGAAATTAATGTCAAGTTAGCCTCTGTTATTAAAGAAGTTGCCACGGAAAGCATGTCAAATGCAGCGAATGAGGAAAAAATTGCTTCGGAGAAATGCCTTACTGTCAGTGGTGATGGCACCTGGAAGACAAGGGGACACACTTCGAAGGTAGGCGTTTGCACACTGATTGGTTCTGAGTCTGGAAAGGTTTTAGACGTAGAAATAATGTCTTCATTCTGTAAAGGGTGTGATTCATACAAAGGTAAAAAATATGGACCAGAGTACCAGAAGTGGTACTGTCGCCACATAGGGGTATGTCGTAAAAATCACACTGGCTCCTCTGGAATGATGGAAGTACAAGGTATGCTAAAGATGTTTCAGCGCTCTGAAAAGCTTTATGAGGTAAAATATCTAAATTACATTGGAGACGGAGATGCTAAAACTTTCAGTACTTTGAGTGCAAACAACCCATATGGTGAAGAATTTCCTCTTCAAAAAGTTGAATGTGTTGGTCATGTGCAGAAGAGAATGAGCACAAGGCTAAGGAAGCTGAAAATGTCATATGGCAAAAAATTATTAGACGACAAGAAAACAATTGGTGGTAAAGGCAGGTTAACCGACAGTTTAATTGAAAAACTTACTTCGTATTATGGTAATGCTATCCGAGCAAATAGCGGTGATGCCATAGGGATGCAAAGAGCCATTTGGGCTGTTTGGGGTCATACATTCAGTGTCGACGATGATCCTCAACATCAATATTGTCCAGATACTACTGATACATGGTGTAAATATAATGCCGCGAAACAAAATGGTACTGTAGGTAAATATAAGCATAAAAATCCTGTGGCGAAAGCTATCAGAGATATTGTAAAACCTATTTTCAAAGATTTAGCACATCCTAAGTTATTGAGGCGGTGTTTAGGTGGAAAGACTCAGAATCCAAACGAGTCTTTGAATTCTCTAATATGGAAGTTTTCTCCTAAGACTATAGGTTCTGGACTAGTTATAGCAGAAATCGCAACATTCCTTGCTGTCAGTATTTTTAATGATGGCCACCAGTGTTTTTCGGCTATTTTCGAACATTTAGATTTTAAGGTTGATAGCAGTGCTTGCTTTGAATTGGAGAATGTTGATAAAGTAAGAAAAACATATTCAACAAAAAGAGCTTTGGCTTCCTCTCATGAAGCACGTAAGGCTAAGCGACAAAAAACAATTCGTGATAACGAACGCTTGGCAAGTAAGGAAGGTCTAAGTTATGCTGCTGGAAGCTTTTAATCAGTCAGCATGATTCCGGAAACAACGCTGACTTTAACGCTGACTTAAGTGTCTCAAAATTTTAAGTATTTTTATTATCAACATTGTTTTCAATATTTTAATTTCAGAAATTTTCACATGATTATTTATTTGAAATTTGAGACGAAAAGTTTGCTTTTTTATTTTTATCATGTTTTGAAATTTGAGACAAAAAGCTTGCTTTTTTTTATCATGTTTTAAATATTATAATTAATCCTAAAAATTTCATTTTAAGCTGAAAAACATTTGCATTTTAATAAAAATTCCCTATCAATGTAGAAAAGAATAATGCTTAAACTTTCATCTGTAAGGTTTGTATATACTTTGTGAAAACACGTTGTGCGATTGCATCTTCTTTTTTTTAAAAAAAAATCCCATTTAAGACATTTACATATAATGTTATGTTTATTTTATTATGTTACTAGCCGCTTAAGGCGGCCAGCTGTCCGCCACGCTAAAGGTTTTCACAAATAAAGTTTTTTAAAACATAGCAGGAAATCTGAAGATTAGTGGACAATTAAAGTGTTCCTGTCCTGCAATTTTGTCTTCATATCCAGTTTTGCTGCAGATGTGTAAAAGCTCTTGAGGATGTTTGAAGATGTAACTTTGATATGGTAACCTAAGGCTTATGGTAACCTAACCTATAATATAACTATCAGGTGGAGACTTGTTTTTTTATGGCCTCAGAAATTGTAAAAGCATACAAAAGTTGCTTTCGAAATCATCATTGGCCAATAGCTGAAAATTAAAACGCAGTTAACAACATATTTAAGAAACAGCAATAAAATAAAACTTGTGTCAGTCAGCATACAAATAGTATATAATTCTTCCCATTCTTGTAAAACTTCTTTATAAACAATATTTAGTTTTTCCATTTGGTGCCAATAAATATAAGTTCTTTTCATCACCAACTCTTGAGCAGCCAACATAAAGCTGTCCATGTGAAAAGCAAGGCTTCTGCAAGTCAAGACCAACGACTTTTAAAGATTGTCCCTGAGATTTATTTATACTCATCGCAAAACTAAGTCGAACAGGAAACTGAAGACGTTTAAACTGAAACGGATTGTCTGAAGATATGATGAGGATGCGAGGAATAAGCACACTATTTCCTGTTGACTGTCCTGTTATAATCATAGCTTCAATAACATTAGGCATCAATTTTTTCACAATCAATCTTGTTCCATTACATAATGCAGGTGGATCCAAATTTCTTAAAAGCATAATTGGTGCTCCAATTTTCAATTCTAATTTATGTGCAGGCACTCCAGGTGGTTCCAATGAGTTCAAAAATTCTGTCGGATAGTTGACAACTTAATCTATTTCCATGACAGCGTCGATAGACTTGTAAATTTCCAGAGCACCAGGTAATTTCATTAAAAGTTTGTTATTTATCACGTTAACAATATAATTTGTTGGAGAAATGATAGCTCTTTCACATAGCCATTGAGGGTTGCAGTAATTTTCATGAATATTAGGAAAAACCATTTCTTTGAGTTCGTCGGTTGTGGCAACATGAATTCCAATATTTTCCACATCTATAAGCCCTTCTTCATCGCCACTAATATCACCATTTCCAAGTCTTAGAAGATTGTTGGCAAATTCCTGTGCAAAGACTTGTCCTGTTAAAGGAACTCGCATATTTGTTTTCAGCCGCAGTCTTTGAACATTTGCCCAAATGTAAGATGACTTTATACATGCATGTATTTCATCTGCCTTTGTCCCACGTTGTATTACAGGAAGTGCTTGTCGAAAATCACCAGATAAAACTAAAGTTACACCTCCCATACACTTGTTGTTTTTTAAAAGGTCTTGCATAGTGATATCCAGGGCTTCTAAAGCAGCTTTATGTGACATAGTGCACTCATCCCAAACTATTAGTTTACATCTTCTAAGAACATCAGCTTTGTGTGAGCTTCTGGAAATATTGCAGGTAGGATGCTCGACGGTTGATAAATTTAAAGGTAATTTAAACACTGAATGAGCTGTTCGTCCACCAGACAAAAGAGCTGCAGCAATACCAGAGGATGCAACAGTAAGTGCAATCTTATTTCTTTGTCTCACTTTTGCTAAAATCAGATTTATGAGATAAGTTTTTCCTGTTCCACCAGGTGCATCCACAAAAAATATTCCACCGACGTCATTAAACTCAGCAAATAAGATTTTTTCCAAAGCTTCCTTCTGGTCTTGAACCAGATTTGGCTCATTCGAATCAATGTATGATGTCATTTCATCTGTATTGTAATTTGTTTCCCTAAAAATTTCTCTGTTTAAGTCAATGGTTCTGTTTGTTGTGTCAAAGGAAGTCTATAAGTTTTTAAACCAGAACCACCCAATTCTTTGACCTTGTTTTCAAGAAGAATTAATGCCTGATTGAAGATGGCATCATCATAATTTAAATCCATGTCAGTACTTCTAATCCTGGCTTGGTGCAAAACATCTTCAGCCATACTTTCTCTTTGTAAATTCCACAATTCCAGAGGGTTTGCAATAGAACATGTTTGCAACAAATAAATTACGCAGTATTTCAGGTGATCGAACAACAACAGCTTCTTCTAACGTGCTTTTCCAATGCGAGTCATCTTCAAGAAGTCCTCTTACCTGGCAAGCCTGCTTAAATGTTTCGCATTTTATTTTTCCAAAAATCTTTAAGTCATTGAAAGATGTAGGTCCGTGCACCTCATGAAGCAGTAGTCGAAGATGAAAACATTCGGAATTGTTAGGATGAATAGTGTAGACGCGACCAAGTGCATCACTTGATTTAATTCCTGGGTCTTCAGATACTATCTGACCAGATTTCCGCCGAACCCACTTTTTGCTGCTTGCAGACCATGTATAGTACTTCGGCAACTGATTATACAACAAAGTGCGAGCAAAATCATCGTTTTGACATAAGCTAAAAAAAGAAGTAAGTGTTGTGGCTGGTGGAGCTTGAGCTCTTTAACATGCATTTTCTGTTGTGAAGTAAACTCGCTGGCCATTCTCTAAGTGTACACTTAAATGAACAACTGTTGGATGCCTTTCATGTATAGGTAAACCCAAAATACACAACACTGCCTCGTTGCTACTGATGTATCGTCCTATTTCATAATGCTGTACTAGATCATGCACACTTTCGCCGTTGGCAATGTTAAATACAGCCATATCAGATCCTTTGTTTACATATTCGCAAACATATTTTATAGATTTTATCGAATTACAAAACTCCACATTAATATGAGCATTAAAAGTTTTTAACAACAATGGACAAAAACGAACTATACTAGAATGCAAAGTTTCTTGACAATGACGTCACGGCTGGCGGAGGAAGAAGGAGAAATAAGTTCAGCCGTAGGGTTGTAAGGAGCAGGATCGAAATGACGTCACACTCTTCCAGCTTCCAATTTGGCGCAATAATCGGATTAAGCATTTTGTTTGGCACTTTGATTGTTAGAAAATCATTGGTCAAATTATCAGAAACACTTATAATAAATTTAAAGATTCATTTTATGTAATCATAATTAAGTAATCTAGTATAATAAATATATGTAAACTTTATATTCTGAAATTTTATAAATTAAAAAATATAGAATTTTAATATATTCGATTTATGAGTTTGTTATTTTAATTTTTACATAATTTTATATATTTAAAAATTTAATTTTTAACAAATTATTTCAAAACAATACTCAAATGTTTGAATAAATAAATCTGATATTATTGTGTAATTTTTTTTTCAATTGATCAATATTTTTCTCAACCTAAATATCAGGGTGTCAATGATTTAAATAAATTGATTTAAAAAAAAAATTTTTTTATATCACTTTTAAAAAAAATCTCAATTTTAAGTATTTTTTAAATAAAATCACAATTTCAATTATTTATTTTAAAAAAATCATTTTTTTAAATATTTATTTAAACTCCCAACAGTCAATCATTTTCTTCAGCCTTTCAACAGTATTTTTACACCACAACCTTTCTTTATATTTACATTAGAATATTCTATTCTTATTTGACCATTTCATTTTTGTATACTCAGTCTCTTAAATTTCCCCTTTACATTGTTACTGTTCTATTACACTTTAGAAAAGTATACTTAATTTTTTTAAAGCTAAATAGTACCTATTTTTACTTTTAAATGTGTCCACTTGAAACAAAATATACTTAAAGGAATTATTTTTTTCGATAGTTTTTTTTTACAGATTAATACTATTAAAGACAAGTTATTTACTAGTTCTTTTTATTGTGTTTTTAGTTGTTAAACTTAGTAGTTAGTTGTTTAGCTTAGTAGGTATTAAGGATGACACACTGCAAGATTTATTCCTTAAAAATAAAAAATTAATTCATGTATCATTTATGATGACATACACACAACTTCATCAGTACTGGTGTCTCCTTCGGAAGCAGTCTCAGTTGATTCAGGATCAACATTAATAACCAAACTTTCAACGGTAAAATCACACATTCCGTCAAGTTCCCACATTAGTTCTTCCTCTTTAATAACATGGCTAACACAGTTCTTCCATGTTTCAGTAGAAATGTTTTGAATTGCTTCTTTCGTGATCTGTTTCACTTCATTCTCTTTAAATGTTTTATTTTCGGCTGCAACTTTACCTTTCACAATACTCCAAATATGTTCAATTGGATTAAGTTCACAGTGGTAAGGTGGCAGTCTCAAAACAGTATGCCCTTGAAGCTCGGCTAGTCTATCAACCCGATAGCCCTCATATTTGTTACGGACATTAGACACGAGGAGCAGAAGTTCAGCTTTTAGCATGTCAAAGCTCCAGGAAATGTTTTTCGATGTCAGCCATTGTCGAATGTCATCCTTTTTGGTGGAAGAGTTAGGAATGTTTTCCACAAAAACACTGTGGTATGATGCATTGTCCATCACAATAATGCTATTGGCAGCAAGGTTGGGGAGTAACTTATTTTGAAACCAATTTTCATAGTAATCACCATTCATTTCTTCATGGTAATCACCTTTACCTTTTTTTTCCTTTAAAGATATCTTCAGCTTCCTTGACAAAACCATTCTCACCTCCAGCATGGGTAATGATCAACCTGGATCCTTTTCCGGAAGGCGCTTTTAGTCCAGTTGAGAGGCCTGACATAAATGCATCTTTCGGTCTCTTTATAAATGTGTCTTGCTTCTTTTGTGTGACCAAAATTCACCCAGGTTTCATCGGTGTAAATTATGTTCCTTCCTTCATTTCGGTACCGACGAATTTGTCTTAAAAATTGACGTCGCCACACTTGTATATCTTCCCTTTCTATCAGCACTGAATTGCGGGATCGCTTCTTATACACAAATCCTAAATCGAGCATTAGCCTCCTGGTTGTGTCAACAGTCAAGTTCGGAAGGTCAGAATCCTCATTGATTACTTTCATAACTTTAGCCACGGTTGGAACTTCATTTCTTTTAAAAAACAAGTGCACCTTCCGACGAATGACACACAAAGTAAAGTCATCAAACTTTTGTAGTCTAGTTCCTTTGCATTTTCTTGCAGGTCTTTCTTTTCCCAGGAGTGGAAAATGAGCCATTAACGCCATATTTTTTTTGCATCCGTGAGATGCTGCTGGTAGATACGCCAGTTAAGTCCGAAGTTTTACACAGCACATCATTCATAGAATCGCTGGGATTCCCTTCTCGCAATTTATGAAATACATTCATAACAATTGTCTTTTCAGAGCTTTTCAAAGCGCTGCCTTTCTTGTGGATTTGAAAGACGTAGTTCAACTTAGGAGTAGATTCCATTATACTAATAATAACGAAATTAACGAATAGGTAGAATAATAACGCTATATTAGCTTTTAAAAAAACCTGGTTTCTCAAACGATAAAAAATAAACTACACCACAGCAAAAGATTAAAGATAATATGCAATAAAGCGGGCGCGAAATTACACGCCAAAAGCTCTCCCTAAAAGCGCTTTGGCGGGATCTGTTGATCGTGAGCTCTCATTGGCTAATGCCTTCAATTCTAAATAAAGATACCATTCCGCGATGCGCCGTTCGTAAATTTGAAAATATATAAAATTTTAAGAAAATTATAGCAAATTAACGCTATATATGTGTGGGTTAAGATAACTTATCATATTTCTATTGTGAAATGCGTAATTTACCTCGAAATAGAGACATCGCGCCGGGAACTATTTTCTTCGTTTGCCCTCAGCATATTTCTCCATTGTCAAGAAACATTGCAGTTTAGTATACCCATCTATTATCAATAACAATATCAGAACTCCGTACTTTTTTAACTGTCGTATAACCGCCATCCTTTGGACTCTGTCGACGATACAGGGGATATCCATCTTCCCCTGTTTGTGTTTCTTTCAAAAAACTTCGAGGGTACCTCTTTGTACATTTTCCATCTTTCATGCAAGGAGACTGTTGATTCAGGATCCCACAAGGGCCATATATCATTTGTGTCTTAATAACATCATGCAAAACTGGATTAATTTCTGGATCTGCTATTTCTGCACTTATTACATTATCTATGCTATGAACATGGATTTTTTCATACAGCCAAATTAAAATATGAGTATGTGGAAGACCACGTTTTTGCCACTCTATTGTGTACATAAAACATTGAACAGAGACAAATACTTTTCTTTTGTTGATGAGAATCATAAGAGCTTTTAGTTTAAGATGGAAAACTCTTGCTAGCAAATCATGTCGATCGTGACTTCTCTGCCTAGGCATTACTTCATTGGTAACCTCCTGCCACTGTGGATTACAGGTAAATGTAATAAACAAATCAGGCTTCCCGTAATTTCTAACATATGTCATCGCATCTTGAGTTCGTTCATGCATGTAGCGTAGACCACCAGTAAATGTAGAAGGTAAAATTACCATTTTACCAATATCATTAACACTCCCGTCTCTGTTTAGGGCATCCTTGAGATGAACATACTCTTTAACACGTAATTTCTTCTGGTTCAAGAGTACAAACCTCAGTCGCTCAGATTCAATTTTTGCGAACATGTCCACAATAAATTGATTAAAAATTCTCCTGCATCTTAAAATAATATTGAAATTTGCTGCTCGAAACATAATTCGATAGGCATAAAAATCCATGGCTGAAATTTTCTTATAAGCCGGGCAGTAGTTAGGATTACTTGCCTTAGTTCAAAATGGTAGCCGTCTTCACCTTGCCAGAACATCAAAGGATACTGCAATGCATCATATGCTCGGTGTGTTTCTGCAATTTTTTTAATTTCATTACTTTTTAATTCCAATACTATATCTTTGCTACTGTATACATCACCTGCAAGAATAACTGCCATCTCCGATGTATTTGGAGCATTAAATCGTCTGGAGTAGATTCCATTATTTTAATAATAACTAAATTAACGAATAGTAGAAGTAGTAGAAATAACTAAGTAATAGTAGTAGAAATAACTAAATTAACGGTAGAATAATAACGATATATTAGCTTTCAAAAAAAGCTGGTTTCTCAAACGATAAAAAATAAACTACAGCACAGCAAAAGATTGAAGATAATATGCAATAAAGCGCGCGCGAAATTACACGCCAAAAGCTCTCCCTAAAAGCGCTTTGGCGGGATCTGTTGATCGTGAGCTCTCATTGGCTAACGCCTTCAATTCTAAATAAAGATACCATTGCGCGATGCGCCGCTCGTAAATTTGAAAATATATAAAATTTTAAGAAAATTATAGCAAATTAACGCTATATATGTGTGAGTTAAGATGACTTATCATATTTCTATTGTGAAATGCGTAATTTACCTCGAAATACAGACATCGCGCCGGGAACTATTTTCTTCGTTTGCCCTCAGCATATTTCTCCATTGTCAAGAAACATTGCAGTTTAGTATAGTAATGTCAAATTGTCTTGTTGAAAATTCTCGATTTCATCATATATGTTCTTAAGGATATTGGGTTCATGCCATGAAATGCTGTTAGTTGTTAGGATAATTTAATGAGGAGTTCAGTTTTATTTGATTTTATCATTTTAGGGTCGCAAGATACAGTAACTCCTATTGAAATGTGAACAGCGCGGAGGTATGAAGAGAGCTCGTTTATTAAACTTACAGCATTGGATTTATTTGTGTATATTACGACAAAATCCAACAATTTAGGTCGTATGTTGTTAGTGTTGGGCTCCAAGGAATCGGGGGGGGGGTCGCCACTTTGGTACACAAAAGCTACCACAATCAGAAGGAGCTCCTTCCTTTTTTTTTTTTCTTTTGAGATTTATACTGTTAGCATCAGATCTGTTAAAACCCCGAGTAAGATATTCGGAATTGAAGTCNCGTTCAAAACTTTGTTTGGAACGAGGAGAGCTAGTGACGTCGTTGATGACGTAGGACTAACCCTGTCTATTCCAGGCAATTTATTCGAAACCAAGTTTCCATTAGATTTCTGTGGGGTTCTGTCAACGAAAAATAAAGCACTTATTTATTAAGTTTTATAAGTTGCAAGTAAATCGAACATGAAAAAAGCTAAGAAACCAAGGAAAGAAATAAAAATAAACACATGGTAAAAAAGATTACAGAGATAAGAAGAATGAATAGATATTTTTAGTATTTTTTTGTTCGATTTTATTTTATTTACCTTTTTCAATGCTGTCCTTCTTTTTCCCTTTTTTTTTTTTTGCATTTTTATCTTATTTTTTATATTTAGCCTTCAAGAGATAGTTTCAGCATGTCTAAATTTTCTAACTTCAATGCTGAGTGAACAATATTGTTTTACTGATTAATCCCTAATTATTTTCTAATTTGTGTTACAACTATTACATAAAGTATTTACTCTAACATTTTCACTAAGATTAAAATTCCACAAAAGGCATTCAGTCTGAAACTTCTATGACGTTAAGTGCACAGAACGCACCCTTACCATTAGTAGGGCCACATTTTTCTTTTTGGATTAATAATGTGATAGATATATTCTATTGCTGGTAATGAGATGACACATAAACAATAAAATTTGACTTTTTTTAGTTAGAATTTATTTATTGATTGGTATGTGGCTATAGTTAAGAAAACTTATTGTTGTAATCTTCATTTTCAATCTACAACTTCTAAGTTTTTATTTCCTTGCTTTTATGCCTAAAACGATAGAATCTTACAAAATTACGACCCCTCTTCCAGCAAATAGTTTCCTTATGAAAAAATAAACAAATGAATAATAACAAATAAAAATTACCTAGAATAAAGAATGAAATAACGAATAAAAATTATCTGAAGTTTCAACGTGATCACGGTAGCATAAATGGACTACTTCGCCAGAAAAATATTTTCGAATGGTAGTCTTTTAATGTTTGATGGGATTTTTAATCACCAATACTTCTAAATCAGGGCTTTCCAACTTGCATGAGGCCGCAATTAACAACACCAGTCAAATGGCGGGCCGCAATTTTACCAAAATTTTAAATAGGACTCTTTTATGCTTGAAGGAACAATAAATATTACTGTCAGATTTTTATCAAGTTGCACGAAACAAAAGTATGTATTGAATTACAAATTAAAATACGAAGTANTTTTACCAAAATTTTAAATAGGACTCCTTTATGCTTGAAGGAACAATAAATATTACTGTCAGATTTTTATCAAGTTGTACAAAACAAAAGTATTGAATTGCAAATTAAAATACGAAGTAGATTTTTAAAAATATTTAATTGTATATTAAAAAATTCTGACTACACTAACTTTAATGTTTACCTATGTATTTAGCAATTAATGTACAACAGATATCAAATTGTAAAGATATAAAACTTAAAAGTATTTAAAATCTATACAGATTTTTTATGAAAATTGTTCGCAAAAAATGACAACAAATATATTTTAGTTCGCGGGTCACAAAAAAAAAGGCTTCGCTGGCCGTATGTGCCCCGCAGGCCGCCAGTTGCTAACATTTGTTCTAAATGATTATGTGATACTCCACTTTGTCACAGTTA